TTATTTTTTATTGAAGAGTTTTCATATCGTTTCATAGTCTTGACTTTTGAGAGATTCTGGGAATGTTCAGGTTAGTTCGCGGCTGTGATGGTAACTATAATAGTTCTTTTAGTTCGCTCGTTCCCTACGCAGCATAGAAAGGTATATACAGCTTTCTGATTTGATATCAATTTGCGTTTGGAGCCGCATATTGGATTCTATTAGTCTTACCGAGATTCGCCACACCGAAATAAGAAAATACATGTCTATTCGTACACTAATGATTAGGGTCATTGTCTGTCGTTTACAGTCGTAAGCTAATGTTTATATTTTTGTATTAGCAACTTTATTATGCTCAGAGTTATTTCTGAGTTAGAAGGTAATAAATCTATCTTAATGTTAGAGCGCCCGCCAATAGTTGGCCAATTATTAAAGATTAAAACTATTTTCTACTCAAGTAAAAATAAAAGTCTGCCTGGATAGTTAAGATAAAACCTCTGAATGTAATAAAGTCTCATTACTACTTACGGGCGTTATTTTACAGAAAATTGGGGTTGTACTTTTAACGTACTAGTTTCTGCCTGAAACCCCGTTCGTGTGTCTGTGATAGACTATGACAAACAAATACTCTCATTTATAATATTAGTTAGAAAGTAGGATTATTGATTTTATACTATTAGTTCTATGTATGCTCAATTTACTTATTATTATTTTTATTTATTTAATTTCAATTAAATTATTATATTGTTCCGTGATCCTGTCATGCAAAATGACCGCAAAGTGTTCTCTATGATTTTGACTTCTACAAATATCAAAGTAGCTAAACTTTTTGCTAAAAATTACTTTCTCACAATTTTATTCATTTCAAAGAGTGTGAGGAAGTACTATGATAATTAAAATAGATTTTTTAGAACATGTAGTTTTTACAATACCCTTTCTTGTAGTAGTTAAGTTACACTACTTTAATTAAAGTCATTTAAATAATCTATTAGTCAATAGAAGCTTATTTGTATTCTACATACAAAATATAGATATATGTACGTTTCAAATCCGTCAAGATAAATTTACTTTAAGGGATGGTCGACGCTAGCGTACCCAATCTGGTCCACGTCAATTTATCAATATTGTATTATGAGAGATGGTGTATAATACAAATACTTCTATGGTTACTGGAGGCAATGGAAAGGAAAGAAGAAGGAGGAGGAATTGAAAGGTTAGCGATACGGTAGTCTTCATTAAGGCGCCTTCGACCCATGTATCGTTAGATGAACCAATAAATTTGTTACAATACTTTCTGAAACCTTGAGATTTGTACGTATTTTTAATGTTAGTTGATTTCTATATTATCTGCTATCAATTTTACTGAGTAATACAACAAAGTGGTAATTATTGTAGTGTTAGTATTTTTTTACGGCAAAATGTATATGTTAGCATGTATTTAATAACAAGAAATAAAAATTTAGGCACATATTTTCTTTACGATGAGAGATTTAAAGTGATCCAAAATTACAATTTTTTTTTTGTTTAAATTGTTAATGACATTTGTTAACTGACAATAAAATTACTTATTTAGTAACATTTATTACGTTATATTTAATAACATTTATATAAAAATAATGGCTTTATTTTTAAATAAATGTTATTAAATACATTAATTATGTTTTTCAATATAAATTTCATTTAAATGTATTTATTCTAGAATCCTTGAATGTAGGATTAAATATTTCGAAGGATTTTAAGGTATACTTTAGAAAATTAATTCAAAATCAATTTACAAAGTTCCTGTTGAGATTAATGAATTAATTTTGTAATTTAAATTAAATTTAGAAGAGGATGTCTAGTTAAATTAATTATATATAAAATTAATTATACAAAAGGCGGAAAATTAAGGAAATCAAGAGAAGAGATCAATAGAGACTATTAATAACTACAACACATAAAGATCACATTAGGACTGGTATGGGTCTTTCCTTCTATAGCGAAACATGTATATATTTATTACCGTAAACTTACTAGAAGGACATTTAGAAGGATAACAAGGACATTTATACTGGTGTATTCTTCTTTGTTTTCCTTTTTGAAAATAATTTTATTTCAATTACGTAGTACTATCTAAATAAATTATTCAAATTATTTATAATGATTGCATGAAAATATGTAAAAACAATGATGAAGCAATAATCAAATAACCTTTATTTTAATAATAATAATTTAATAACATTTAAATATAAATTATGGCGTACAAAGATTAGAAGGCCTACTTTATGATACTGAATGATTAATTACTCATTAATATCTGGTGATATATTTTATATTCATGTTGACTACTAGATAAGTTATTTATAGCATACCATGCAACACCTGAGCATACCATGTTTTTTTTATTAATTTGAATTGTTATCAATGTATTCTCCACAGGAGATATGTATGAATTTTAAATTAAACATAGTGTTAGGTGTTAATCAAATTTTACCTTACATTCTTTGATATCCAGTAGCAAACCTCTAGCCCGTAACCTTATTGAATTTATACTTACTATAAAGCTTTTAGTAAACCTATAAGGTTTTAATATTTCTATGAATCTTTTAACAACCTTTACGATACACCTTCCTCAGATATCCACATCAGACAACGTTATAAAAATATCGGATATTTTTACACCGGCATTTGCGAAAGGAAAAATACGAATTTCATTCCACATGTGCGGAGATGAAATTTTCATACCGATAAAAGCGTGCGAATATCTCGCAACCAGAGAGAATACGGGCAACTTTTTTAATCATGCGGCTATTAAATAATAAATCGTGGGTCCCTCCCCTAATCCAGCCGGCAGGGTACACAGTGAAGTGCGCGAGCGAATTACAGTAATTATGTCGGTTCGTCCTAAGGGAATAATTTGTTGGTTTCGGTCCCCCGCGAAATGTAGCGCCGCGACCATTTGGGGACCGGTTGGGGTATAATCACGACGTTTGCGGTCAGTATCGCGATTCTGGTGCTTGTTATATTGTACTACTACGCTTTGTGTTCCACGCTAGTGAATACATATACAAGAAAGAGTTAAGTATAATTTAAAGTATAGCCATAAAGAGGAATCATATTATTTTTTGGTCGTAATAAACAACCTAATAATACAAACAATACCTACATCAATAAGTCAAACGAGTTCACTCCTAAATTAAATTCTGAATTGAAAATAATTAGAAACATTAATTTAGGGTTTCTGAAAATTTTACATATTTTTGGCTTCCTTCGTCGCTCATTCTGTTTTTATTTTTATTTTCCTACTTCTAAACATAGATAAACAGGAACATAATTAATTAATATTCTTTTTTTAATATATTTACACCAAATTTGAAAGTGAATTAGAGAATGATTTATTGTATTTTCCCCTCTTCGATGAGTTTCTATTACAATCACAATGTTTACTGAGGGATAAAGTTCTGAAAAATGTTCAGGTTCTAATCTTTTGAACAAGGATATTTTATTTTGATAAATCATTTATTGTCTAGATGCTGTATTTTTCGTTTACACTTAAGAGTCATGGGTGACATTTGATCGTTCATAATTTTACATTAGAATTTATCAAAATTTGAAAGATATAAGTTTTATTGCTAAGTAAGTAACCTTTAACTTTAGTATACCTTTTAGGATTTAAAAACAATAATCACTGCAGAAGGAATAATCAAAGCTAATTGAAAAATGATGTACATTGTACATATATGTCGCGTAAATACATATAAACAAAAATATATAGCGTAATTGAGGCCATCGTCTATTTTAAAGTCGGAGGCAAAATCAATGTACGCTATACATCGATAAATTTATAATGGGTGTAATATTGAAGTTTTGACATACGAGAGTTTGTTATGAACTTAGAATTTGCTACAGCGTCCGTGGGGAGTAATTTGTATAAGCTTATGCGGTAAGTCTACGGTTCGATATTATTTCAAAACCGCAAGATCAAGTCTATAATGTTAGGTAACAAGTCTAAACATATTTCCTTTATTTATCATTCTTCTACTTCAATATGTAAGGATTTAGAATTTAAGTAAAACAGAACTCTATCATAAGGTTAACTTATAACCGTCTAGTCGACCTTCTATCATAGCGTTTCTGATACGTAATATAAATTTCGATATTGTTTATTGAATTACGTGCAATGACAAATTATGCTTTTTGTTTTATGTCGACGATAAAATCATTCTTCTACTTTAAAAGGTAAGGGTTTAGAATTTAAAAGGTAAAACAGAACCCTATCATCATAGGGTTAACCTATAGCCATCAGGCCGACCGCCTATCATAACGTTTCAGAAACTGAATATAGTTTTGGATATTCTTCATCCAACCACGTGTAATGATAAATTGAAAATGTATTTTTATGTAGATGATATTTAGGTTCTCACACAGACACTATCAGTCCTCAGGAATTACAACGCTAGAATTATATCATATGCATCATAAATAAACTTTCTAATGTGCATAGTGTTATTCTAATCTATAGGGAATGGTAACCACTTTCCTTCTAATTAGTCATTAAGCAATGAAAATCAAAAGAAGTGGTTTTCCATTGCAGTCAAAAATTATACATATCACATAACGTACCATCAATGTGTTCCCATTAAAATGGGGAGGCAACGCTAAATTAATTGCATTGTAAAGCCATAATATAAAGTTACAACACCATAATTTAATGGCCGTTGTCGGCTATGTCATCGTCCAATCTTGATTGTGTTTACATCGGCTGTAAAATTAATTAGCTATTAAACAGCAAGTGCTTTTATTATTCACGTTATACTTTAGTGGTTTTGTTTGATGACATGTAAAAAAATCCCTGTGCGATATGTTTGTATCAATTTTGATTATATTATATAATTAAACCTTTCGTTTTAAATTCGAGACTAAATAGAATAATTCTGTGTTTAAACTATACATATTTTTAAAGTAAAGTGATAAATAATTATAAATTAAAAATAAATAAAATATTTTAAATAAAATTATGTAATTTGAATGGAATATCGTACTTATCGCATGACTGATTGTCTTCAGTCAGTACTGTATGCGCAATCCACCTGAAACAATAAAAAACACATCAATTAGAATAATATTCAAAATAATTATAAACTGTAAATAAAACGTATAGAAAACGCGAGATTATCGCAGTTTGGCCAGTATCTACTGTCTAATTTTTTGTAGAAAAATGTAGAAAGTCGTAGCATATTAAAAAATAATGACCCTACCCAAAAAGAGGCTATTACAAGATGTTTATGTTACACCATATCTTAAGCAAGGGGATGAAATAATGTGATTATTTTTGCAATTGCTCGAGTTCAGTTTCTTCTATATAAACATGATTTCACATATGTTTATATTTCAGTTTAGTTTCATAATTAAAATAGAATCAATCGAATTAGTAGTTTCTATTAAAAATAGATATTCAGTATGTATTTAAAGGACTTTTAAACCTGTAAATATTAGTTATACTAGTATATGAATTTTACATCAAGCATAAATAACTTACCAATAAAGTATCTAAAATTATAAGTTTCTTACAAAAATGTATTTGTATATACCATTATATGTAGTAAATAACTAAACGAATATTAAATGTTAAGACCAGTCCTTATCATTTCATGATAATTATACACATCATGAATCTTATATTTCGAATAACAGTCGAATGGGTTGACAACTTTTTGATATAATTTCTACTCAATTCTACGGTCTAGCCACGACAATGTATATTATAATACGAGTACAACTACAAACAAAACAAGCAAATCAATATTAACGTTCGGTGCGCCGATGGTACTTGGCGGCGACCGCCGGCACTCGGGACACACGATCGATTCCCGATCGGACTGAAATAACGATATAATTCAACTGGCTACCGTATCCCTCGCACCGCACCTGGACCAGGGCTGTGTGGCTATTTGCTAAAATTAACGTAAATGAAATACATTTTGTTTAAAGAAAATTCAGCGCTTTCAAGCCCCAAGGTAAGTAGAGCTTGTTTATGGGTACTAGACAACTGATATAAATGCCATGTTACCTTTTTTTTAATACATATATTAAAAATACCCAGACCGATACAAACAATCATACTCATATATAAAAGTTTATAAGAGGAATCGAACCCGCGACTATTAGAAGTAAGGCGGTGTGCTAAACTAAAAAGATTACTTATGGTAATATCTATCATACACAATCCTATAATATAAGTATGTATGTTTTTTATCTTTTTATACATATTAGTTAATAAAACTGTATTTTTATTGTCCTTAATTTCATTCATTCATTAAATATTCATTATTACAACTAATATTGCGAGGCCAAATTCCTTTATCACAATGTTATGTACATTAGCCATACTATATAGATAAATTAATTTTCAGTTATTTTTTAGAGGTTTTCTAAATTTTATTTTGGTTTATTGTCTCTTATTACTCTAATCTGAGCTCGTAAATGAAGGTTTTCCAAAGGATTAAGGTCTTTAAACCATTAAGCTCTATAAAGGGTCTGCAAAAGTTTCTTTAGGGTTTCCAGATATCCCTAGGCCAACCGCATAATTTCCGACAGGCTGCTTGATCACCGCCATCATGTAAACTGAAACCGGTTAAATACAAAGTATAAAAAAGAATGTAAACATTTTTCTCATGTAACAACCATTAATTTAAATAAAACATATTAAATCCATCTATCATATCTATAAACAATAGACACTGAATACTTATATATTTTCTTGGTTTAAGATAAATGATCTAAAAATTAAGTGACATAACTAAATTACTTTCAGAATTACTTCTTATGTTGTAAAATAATTTGATAATAAATAATAACTTTAACATATCTGTGTATTGTAGTTATAATATCAGATTTTTTACTATTCAAAGTCGTAAGACAAATGATAAGGGTTCCATGATTTTATATATCTAAACAAAAAATTAAACAGGATAATTTTAGACCGTTTTCCAAAGAACATTCTGAAATGGAAAATACTTTCAAAATATTCGAATCAATTCTCAATCAATCAGTAAAAATATATGAAGCAGAGTACTGTAACTGATGACAGACAAACTGCTATTAAATACATCAATTAATTAGAGCTTTCAACATTTTTAGGGTTCTGAATAACCCTAAAAATGTTATAAGCTCTTATTAATTATACCTCGTGTTTCTAGTGGTTTGGGTCAGCATCTGACAACCCTGTCCACTCCGGGGGAGAGAGGGTAGGTGTTAAACGGCGGCGGTCGTAATTCACTATCCGAGAGATTTGTGGGCACATTACAAGAGTAAGGTCAGTAAATTTAAATTCCTTTTACATTGTTCCATTATATTATCATAGCTATGGTATGGTATATGTCAATAAACTTAAACAAATACAGTATGTTAAGATTTTCGTCATGGTCAATACAAAACTTGAGAAGTACATATTTCGTTGGTATATATTGGATTCCACAACGTGATGGACAAGAGCTATCTTTTAGAATAATTGAATTTCTATCGATATTTGTGTCACACAAAAATCACTTAGAAATATATTCAAGTTTTTAGATGTTGACCATACTCAAATTCATGATATGTTGGTACGTGTACTTTGAGACAATAACAAATTAACAATACATCCACCTTAATAATAATATGCACAATTTAAATGATTTAGAAGTTTTATTTAGTCAACATCGTAATATACCAGGCGTTATGAAGGTAGTTACTTACTTAATGTTACTTACATTTATTCTTCTGTCATTTGTTAAATTTTACGGCTGTTTCGAAAGTGCTTTTTAACTTTTTCTGATATAATTTTATATTAGCATTCTAAGTAAAAATAACTGCATAACAACTTGATACGTAAACAAAACTCCCACAATTTAAAGCCTAATATAAAAGTAACAAAAAGCAGAATCGTTAATTTGGATTTATAGAGAGACTTGCATCGTAAAACCCTCGACCTCAGAACAATTTCATTTAGGGGTTAAAAAATTGCTATTCCAATACAAACTTTTCTTTATTAGAAAATAAATTAGTATTAACTTTAATGTATATTGGCTCGGTGATAAAATACTGTTTGTTGATGTTGTATAATAATTTTGCAAATTTACCCATTTCTTATTATAATAAATCCTGTTATTTTTGAAAATATAAATTACCAGTATATAGACAATCAAGACATTGAATAAAATATTGTAGATTTTAATATCTCTTTATATAAAAATACTCGCCCCGGATTCGCACGCTTTTACGCGTATTATATGTATAAACCTTCCTCTTGAATCACTCTTTCTATTTAAAAAAAACCGCTTGAAAGTCCGTTGCGTAGTTTAGTATAGCTACTTTTTTTATACTATGTAATGATTTAGTGTAAGATTTTCAACAATATAATTATGTCTCCCATTATACATGTGAATAAAGATAACTATTCTAAACCTAATAACAACTATAATCTAAAATGTACATTAATAAAATAAAAACTATAGCATGCGAAACATTGGTTAGTAGCATAGTTAATTTTAAAATGCGATATATACAGATTTAAGGAAATAAAAATAGAATTAAGTTTTTACCAGTTCGACTCAACTAAAATAGCTAGCTAATCTCTTTACTGGGGATATAAAAATGATGACGTTTAAAACTGTGCCTAAAAATAATAAAATATACTATGGCTTACACTTTTAATTTCAATCATTAGAATCAATGTTAAAATTGATGAAAATATCATAATATACCTACAAAAGAAGAGTAGAATCTACGTCAATTGAAATTAGACATTATTGCAGAAGTTGACTTTGAACAAAATTGTTTGGATATCTCTATCTCACTTTATTATACCACCAAGCAGCTTACCTAGCAAGCTAAGTTCCTAATTAAAGTTTGAGTTGTCGTATTGCAATTATAGAGTACGACCCCTCCGATTGATCCCCCGTCCAATTCAAACGGGGATCGAAATTACGACGGCCTGAGCAGAGGTTCGAACCCCTAGTGGTGCCCTCAGACTAAAGTCGTATCCGTCTCAGGCAGGAGTTGGCCTTCTTTCATAACACCACAACTATGTATTGTTTAAACTCTACCCGTCATACCATGTAATGAGTGCGTTTGACAACGTCATTGAATCAGAGTGACCGCGTATATTGTACTAAAAATATTAAATATAACTTTTTGTTATTTACTACTTTTTACTAGCTTTCTGAGAATAGAACCATGAATATGAATCTATACAACCATCTGTTCGCCGTAATGTGTATTAAATGTAAAAGTGTTTTATTGGCCAAAAAAGTTTATTATTATTATTATTATTATCTGAATTATTATTAAAAAACTAGAGTATTCAGTTTCATATAAAAAATGTCCCCTCCGATCGATCCCCCGTCCAATTCAAACGGGGATCGATATTATAACGGCCTCAGCCGAGGTTCGAACCCCTAGTGGTGCCCGCAGACTAAAGTCGTATCAGGCAGGAGTTAGCCTTCAGCCGCTCCATAAGTCTTTCCGCGGGTTTGGAGTGCCATCTGCACTCGCCCCCTAACGTCCGGTGAAGCTGTAAAGGCCAGCTGCGGCCAACAGCATAGTAGCCGAAAAAAAAAATAGAGTACGAATATATGACGCTTAAATCCATAGGAATGGCAACACATGAAGTGAAAATACAGCACTGTTGATGTGTATAGGCAAGGCTTATCATTTTCCGCCAGGTGGACTGTCAGCCTGCCTGCCATTTCAGTTAAATGAAAGTAAAAGTTATTAACATTATTTTCAATTGAGTGTATTGAGCCATATGAGTGAGATATGTTTTTATTGTAAAACCCGTTTCATTCCGGGCGACGTGTAAGGGTGAAACGTGAAAATGGGGCGCGGCGAAAATATCACCAGTGGCAGGCGTATTGTGCACTTGTTTTATAGTTTTCATGTTTTTATGTCACACATAAAACTATATGTGAGGTGTCGAGACCGCTGGTATAACACTGGAGTTATGACAAGAATTATTTTATGAAGTCTTTTGTATCAAAGTGAAAATATAAATTCAATGAATAGGGGACGGATTCAATTTATTAAATTTATTTATGCATTTTCTCTTTAT